CCGTGCCGGGCCCCGGCGGGACCAGCCACCAGAGACAGGAGGGTGGTCCTGGCCACTTCAGGGTGTCCCCTGTGCTCCCCACCACGCCGTGCACGAGCACAGTGCTCCGTAGTGCACGGTGTGTGCCAGGACCCCAGCAGCGAGCTGCACGTCCCTCGTTTCCATTACAGCCCGCTGCGTTTTGGAAAGGAAGAGCTCTGTTCTCTGGTGGCACAACAATAAAAGCCACAGAAATTAGTAGAATAAATATTTAAAAACGTGCTGCCTGGAGGCAACGGATGCTGTGCAGAAGGTCTGCTGAGCCCTCACCGTGGCGTTTTAACGAAGCCCAAGACGTTTCTTGGTGAGTGCTCTCGGCTTTGTTGCAGGGCACAGCCACCAAGTTTTCCACGTCTGTGGGATCGTCGGCACGCACTTCCAGCTGGAGGCCATCACGATGGACATGGCCGGGCGCCACGGCCGGCTGCTGCCCGTCACCACGCTGCTCCCCTCCTCCCTGCAGACACTGGGGTCCATGGGCATCGGCGCGGCCGGGAGCCTGGCCGTCATCGCGCTCTGCTCCACCGCCCTGCGCTTCATCCCGGAGCCTCTGCAGAGGGAAAAGCTGCACGGGCATTAATTTGGGTCTAGAGAGGATTTACGCTGCTCTGCAGGAGAGACCCTGAACAAGATGTGTATGGTATGGCTGGGGATGAGTTTATTTGCCTAGGCTCTCCAAGAAAATGCTTATTTGAGGTTTTCTCAAGAGCAAAACATATTGCACTGGGTTTTGTACATATAGCTTTAAAGCTGGGAACAGATTCTGAAATGCCTTTAATCAAGTCGCTGTTGCACCGCAAGAAATAGTTAAAATCATCTTAACTTCTTTTTTCTGTAAAAGGGAGACAAGTGCTAACACTTTCCAAAGCAATAGGCATTCATCAGGTCTGCCTTAGGGAGGAATCAGGGGTGCAGTGAACGTGGGTAACGCCGGGCATCTGGTGACACGGGTGTCCTTCTTGTCACTTTAGACCGACAGCCAGGACTCCTCGGTGAAGGCACAGGCAAGGGCTCACCCAGGGGCTCCCTAACTAAGGTTTTCACCTTGCAAGTGGCATTATTTAGGGGATTAAACCCTCAAATATCCGCATTCCACAGCCTTACGCTAAACCCAAGTGCCTAACAGACGTGGGTCTGAGAGAGACTAGAGTTTGCCCGTGTTTTGAATTCAGCAGTTTTTAATCATTACCCAGAAAGAGTTACTGTAGAACAACTCTCCATGGGACGTTTCTTCAGAATAGCTTTTTTTTCGGGTCCAATTCCCATGCATAGGTAAGTCCTGGGAAATTAATTCCTGTGGGAGAGCGGAGCTCCCGCCTGCGCGGGCGATGCTGCCGCAGCCCCGAGCACGGAGCAGGCTGGAGGCACCGTCCTTCCCTCCTTGCACCAGACACCTCCACCCTGTGCCCACAGCTGGGCTCCTCTCTAACCTCTGCGGCATCAAACGTAAAGGGAGGAGGAAACCCCCGCGCCCGCCAGGCGACGACGTGGCCCTCCTTACGGACCCGTGGTCTGAGGGTGTGACCGATGGCAGAGCCATCACCACTGAACCTCTCTAGTTTCTGGTCCCTCTCACCTGCAAGAATGCTTTTCTTTTCGTGAGTGAATAGGATGGGGGTGTCTGGGGAGGTCAGTTGAGCAAGAAGTGGGAGTCTGTAGGGCGTAGAGACGTGAGCATTGAAAGGCAGCACTTAGAGCAGCTGAGCTGGCAATGCACGGCGGGTCAAAACCTTGAATTTTAAAGCACTTCCAGAGTTAGACCTCTGCTCGCCCAGTGATAGCCCTGTGCCTTCTTCTCCTGCTGCATCTGGGTTTTCCAAGCAGAAGCAGAGCGCTCCGGAGAGGGCCCGGAGGTCTCAGCCTGCTCCGGGCGAGGGGCAGGCAGCCCTGGGGAGAGCTGGGAGCGATGGAGGTTGTCCCGTTGGATTTACCTAACGCTGCGCAGGAAGTCCAGGAACAAGCGATGCAAAGATTCCTGCTAGGGAATATTATCGAGCTTCTTGATAATCATACGGGTGTATAATTTGTTTTGTGTATAATTACCTCTGTCAAGGTATAATTGATGCACTTTTGAGTGATAATACAATGGCTCGTTAAATGTATTATGGGACAAGTAAGTATTTTGAAAAATAGCTTTCTTTTGAAAGCTGACCAAGATTTATATGAATATTTATAAGCACTGGAACGTAATTGTTTATTCAACAGTTTTATTTCATTAAAAGAGAAAACTAATATAACTATCGCACTGGTATACGCTAACCGATTTGTATGGTTTCATAAAAAACTGCCTGTGAAGATTCATCACTTCAGAGATAATTGATAATAATTGCAAAGCTTATTAACCCCGTGTGCTCGTGTGGCTGGAAAGGAATCTGGCTCTGCCTGCGAGACATGATTTAACAGTCTGTACAGTTTACGTGACTCATCATACATTTTTTCTTGGTCATTTAACTTTTGAATTTGGCTAGTCCTCTCATCTTCTTCAGGTGAAATTATTTGTAGGAAAACTACATTAAAAAATACCACATGGTGTTATACACTCCCATAATCCCTCCGGATCCTGCAGCACGGACCCTTTGCCTGGTGCACACTTCACACACCAAACAAGCGAATGTCCGATCTCGGAGCAGCGCAGGTCAGCCAGATTTCTCCTTCGGCTGCAGAGAGGCCATCAAAAATCTATTCAATGCACTAAATTTTAGCCACATGAAGAAATAAAAACTCTGTCAAACTGTTACGAGTAAATAACACAGGATATTTATTTGCTGGAATATGTTTCGTCGTGTGTCTGTGCCCAGTCCAGAGCAAATCACAAACAAAACCATTAACATTAGGACCAAATCCCAGAGAACATCATCTGTCCGCTCTTCAGCCAAGGAGATGTTACTGCGATGAGGAACCATGCGGATACAGCAGATTTTTGGGTCTATCGAGTTCCTGTGGGTTTTCCTACAGGAAAGCTGGAGAGGGACTTTTTACAAGAGTGTGTAGTGACAGGACACAGGGCAATGGATTTAAACTGCAAGAGGGCAGATTTCTATGAGATCTAAGGAAGAAATTTTTCACTCTGAGGGTGGTGAGGCACTGGCACAGGTTGCCCAGAGAAGCTGTGGCTGCCCCATCCCTGGCAGTGTTCAAGGCCAGGTAGGATGAGGCTTTGGGCAACCTGGTGTAGTGGAAGGTGTCCCTGCCCATGGCAGGGGGGTTGGAACTGGATGGTCTTTGAGGTCCCTTCCAACCCAAACCATTCCATGGTTCCATGATTCTATGATTCTAAAATGTGAATATGGATATTCCTGGATAACGTTTAATCCAAAAGACGCACATCTTCTTCCAGAGGAATATAACGCCCAGCAAGGGTTTGGATGAGCTGGAAGGAGGGCAGGAATGTGACTGTGGCAGGAGTCAGGACTGTTGTCTGGAGCACCTCCCCGGCGAGGCCGGTGTCGGACTTGCCGGACCTGCAGCCTCGGGAAAGGCGTGGGGTGTGCAGATTGCCAGCTTGTTTGTCAAACCACCGCTCCTCCTGTGCCAATCCGGAATTGTGCTCTCAGCCATCCTGCATCCCTCGTTTTCCAGGTGGATATCAGCGTGCTGGGTTCAATTAATTAAGCCCTAAGCAGTCTGGGATCGGCGAGAAGCGAGACGCTGCCGCAGCAACCAGAGCAGAGTTTTTTGCTGCAAGAGCAGCTCCGAGGGCTTTTCATCTGTTAGTTCCCAGGGCTTTGGGTATTCCGGCTGGTTTTTAGGGGGGCAGCTCCATCTTACCAGTTTGAGGGCGCAGGGCAAGGCTGGCTGCGGCTCGCCACGCGCTCCGTGCTGGTGGGGCTGCACGCAGGGGGGTCGGTTTAGTTGTGACCGTTCCGATCTTTGACATGTGTCGGAGAACATTAAGAAACGTGGCTGTTTCCATGTATTTTGTTTAAGAGAAGGTTGGCCCAGGACAGCGGTTTGTTCCGACTGCAGTCGCAGAAAGACAACTTGGTTGTTGGGAATTCTTTACACTTTACACCTTTTTTTTTTTCTTTCCCTTAAGGGGACAACTAATAATGTAGTTAATTTGCACTAAAACTGAGAATTTACTGCAGTCTGTGGTTTCAACGAGATTTTCAACCCACCGGAGGCCCTTAGAACCACTACCCGGGGTTAAACCCCG